CAGAACATCTGGTTACGCCACTTGGCTGATGTCAATGCGCTCACAACGTCGTCGTGCGCGTCCGCCAAAACGCATCCGCATGTCAGCACATACAAGTGCATGATCGGTGTCCACACCTGTGCTCCAAATCGAGCGACAGTTCTGGACGCAGGATCTCAATCGGTAACTGATAGCAATGTGATCGATTAGCGTCCATAGCTGGTTCGAGGCTGGTGAGCGTCAAGTCGCCCTGCGGTGGGTGTTGTGTCGGGAATTAGTGCTCGCAGGAAATAAGCGAGCATCTTCACACAAATGAAGTAACCGCACACCGTTATCATTACAGGAGCCTACACCATGTTGATCACCCAGGTGGATAATTTTCCAACTTGAGCGTTCAGATCCCCGGAGAAAATAAAGCCGTATATCAGCAGGATGTGGCAAAAGCCCTCAGCGTTGAACAAAAACTGCTGTATAGGCACGTCAATGGTCTACGAAAGGTGAAGCAAGGATTTCCTCCACTCTGGGCGGCTGATAGCGTAATAAGAACGGCTACAGAAGCAGGAAACGCGCTGCGGATGCTATACGCCCCAACGTTTCAGAGGGTCCAGCCATCAATTAATCTTCCGGCTTTCGTCACCCCGCCGCCAGGAGTCATTCACATCGATTTCATCGCTGAAGCTGTGTTGCAGAAGCTGACGTCCCTGCGCAACCAGAGCTCCCAGACTGTCGAAACCATTCGTCCAGAGGCACTGGTAGCTGCAGCAAGACAAGTAGCAGAACTTTTGGCTCAGTTTTTCCAGTGTTGCTTAGATCAGAGCAAGATTTCTACTATGTGGAAGCTTGGAGTAATTACTCCGATTTACAACAGCAGAAGCAGAACTGAACCTTCAAACTACCGTCCAGTATCCTTTCTGTCTATACTGCCCAAGGTCATGGAATCCATCGTTACCGAAACGCTTGTGTGTTATCTGGAAAACAGTAACATTATTAGTTCCGAACAGCACGGCTTCCGTCGTGTACAACGAAGTTGCTGATTGCACGTAGTAGCTGGACTGAGTCAGCTGACGCTAGAGAAGACGTAGATATCATCTACCTGAATTTGCCAGACATTCGGTCGTCTAGAGCATCGGATAGTTCTTTCCAAGCTCCAGTATCAAAGGATCGGTGACGCTCTTTTAAGCTGGATCGCCAACTTTCTCCTTCAACGGCAATTAGTGGTCAAAGTTCGGAGCTCTGGATCTGACCTCATACAGGTCGAGTGTGGTGTGCCGCAAGGTTTAGATCTAGGTCCACGGTTGTTTTCGGTGTTCATTAACGACTTCGCACAGGCAATCGCCTCAAACTTCTTACTATTTGCCGACGACATCAAAATTTGGCGCAGGATTCAGGTGAATGCCTCAGAATGACCTATACACGGTACATCGGTGGCCAATCCAAAAGTTACTGCATTTCAGTTTGAGTAAATGCGAGGTACTCTCCATACGACACCAGGTCAACTACTCACACAGGCTCAGAACGAATGTACTGCAGCAATGGTCCGTCGAACGTGATCTGGGTGCGGTGGGTCAGGATGACTTAGGTTGCCCCAGGCAGTCTAAAAATGCCTCTAAGACTGGAAATCAACACGTCTGACTGTTGTGACAGGCGTTCGGACAAACAGACATCTCTACCTTTCGACAGATGCTCAGTGCATCTGGTGGCCCCATGTCGAATACGTAAACTAAGCCTGGCATCCATGGCTGGAACACGACCTTAATGCACTGGAGTAGCACCTACGTCGGGCATCCAAATACGTCACTGGAATGCGCAAGCTCCCATACGTGCAGAAGCCGTAACTATTGGGTGTTTTCAGCGGACTAAAGCTCAGATTACGGGGCGATTTGGTAATGGCCTATTTGATTTTACACGATCCACATCATGTGTGCCGCTCCTTAATGCAACTCAGGAGCAATACAAACCTGAGATGTCACTCATTGAAACGTGCAAAGCAATATAACCGTCTGGAGTGCCACAGTAATTACTTTTCCATTCGTGTATGTCACCCGTGGAATGCTGTCCCTGAATCCGTTGTCCATGCACCGACACTAACAACATTTAAAAGACGGTTGGATGAAGCACTCATGCACTTACACTTTGTCACTTAGCCCTACGTCTCCATCCTACTCCTAGAATATACTTTGGATTGATTGGCTGTTACCTGTGGGTGTTGGGAAACTACGCGGATTGCAGGACTACTGTAGAACAAACAATAAGTCCTCCTTTTCACACCTATAACAGTGACAGTTTTAGGAGAATTATTTCGATAACCCCACCAAACTACCCAATGCGACTAGTAAAGCAGTGCTTCTTAGCCTGTATAAATTCATTGTTCATTATTCAAGTCCAGGAACGACGAGCCAACTGAACAGCTTACAAAAATGGTCCGCCTAGCGAGCCAGGTGGCGCTCCTTAGTGTGAGCTGGGGCATCAGTGCTGCGCTTGATTGTTTCACTGGCGCATAACTCCCTGAGACCAGTTATGCGGATGAGTTGGAAAGGTCTGTGGTAATTTCTCCATCTTCCGGGCTCATCCATTTCAGGAGTCCTTTACGTCTACCACCCATCCATAACAGCATGCAGGTCCCGTTTTAGCTCCCACCTAATGGTATGTTTGGTCACACTGTGCACAGACCACGCAAAGTTTTCTTATGGATTCCGGGTTTCACAAGTCTCGCTCGGATATCTAGTGACTGATGCGACGACCACTAATAGCAATAATGGCAAGCAGAGGCTTCCGCGTCCTGAATTGTCTCAATAATACTATTTTACTGAAGTTCCATATTGTTGAAGTGACTATGCTAGAGCCTGGCATACAAAACACCCTAGTAGTTTTGTTTTACTAGAAAAAAGAAAACTATCAGCAGTGCGTTTACACACTGTATCGACGCCTCGCTGCCACCTGACCACCATCGGTAGCGCGTGGGCTGAATATATCGCGAGGACACGCGCCCTTACACGGATATGAACCGGTGAACTAAGGATTGCAAACCAAATGTGCAATGCTTTCGGCCAACGGCCGACTGTTTTACTGAGGCTTGAGATAACCTCTGTTGCCAATTGAGGAAAACTTCTGTTAGCCTTTTGGCCAAAATTCAAGGAAAATCGTCAGCTAACCAAGGCATGATCAGAGTCCACATATTTCTTCCAGAAAGAGGGGCCGTCCAGGGTGAAACAACACCATTGGGAACCAATGGTAATGTGATCTGCATGAGTTCATGGCTGGACAGCTATCGGAAGACACCAAGTGGCAAATCTGCGTTTCATGTTCTTGATAAGAGAGCTAATAAAAAACAGCGTAAAATTGCAATCAACTCACCATTGTCGTGCGTTCGGAGTAAGAACCAAAGTTGCAACCTAGCTTGCTTTGTAATCTAGCGGCGCGGGTTCGAGCCTGCGTATGGACTGGGCAACTCTCGCAGTATCCTTAGCCCACGCGCAACTGGTGGTGGTTGCGCGGCAGCGAAGCGTCAGTACTGCGTACCGGGTGTACTGTTGATGCTCTTTCTCTTTTCCACACCTAGCAGAGAATCCTAGGGCCAACTAGCACGCTGCTTAGCAGAGTTGTGGCATGCCCGTATTTTCACTGCAGCCCTTAGCCAAGGCCACATCGCGGTACTTATGAGTGCTGTGATGTAATTTAACGCTATCTGTCATCAAAAGGAATGGAATGCATCTAGCTCTTGTCTCTACAGTACCAAAAAGGATGGACTAGGAAAGAACAGATCCTAATAGGCCAGCCGTTCAAAGTTGCTTGGTAGGGTAGTGCAAACGGTGTTCCATATATCTTGACTGTATCAGAGTGGGTGGCACACTTTGAGACTGAGACTGAGACTGTATTTAAGAGCAAGTAGAAAGGTTTCTGTACAACTCTATCGAAGTAAGAAAAATCAAAATTTACTTGTGAATTATCAGCAGTTGTGTCTGGTCCGTTAATCGTTGAGTATAATTGTTATTCGATAGGTGTCAAGTGAGCACCATGGTGTGATGGACGGGTCGTCAGAACTGAAGTTCGGTAGACGAGACGACAGAAGTCACAAGGAGCAGTTATTAACCCGGTTGCCCAAAAGAACTGGATGAGACCGCAGGGATGCACGAACTTGCTTAAGTATGGTTGAAATGCAACTTCAGTATTATTCTTGGGCATAAAGTGATATAACAGAGAAAAATGTAACCCGTCCAACACATTCTTTCAAAACCTTGAGGCAAGTAGTGATGCGTAGGCAATCGAAGTTTATTTTATCTGTACCTATCATACACGTCAAGGCTGTGGCACTAAACCAGTAGTAGTGAGTGATTCGGTCAGCACTTTATATCACGCACCAGGCTCCGATGGCTGGGCTACGTGTTGCGCATGCCAGCCACCGACTCCCGTGACGTGCGTTGTTTGCGCGCCGGGGTCTCAATGGATGAGAAGGAGTGGAGGCCAAGCAATAACTTGGTAAAGAGTGATGAAAACCCTCACTTCGAAGTAGGCGTGAGGTGGTGCATCTCGGCTGCCGGCCTGGGGTATAAAGGACGATGAACACATTTGGTTGGACACACTCGCTGACACGCCTAGGAGCCAGCCATAATGACGTCTGTGCTGTGAGTTTCTTCGTCCACTCCGTCTCCTTTAGATCCCCTCCAATCACGAGCTCATATCAAATTAATTTTATGAGATTTGTAGTGTTCATTTTAGTTGCTTGTCTTTTTATATTGCAGCACGTTAGCGGAGGCGTTTCTCACCCTTATCTGGCGAGTATTTATGGTGATGACTATAGTAACCCTCTATACTGATGTCCCGTTGCCCTACTCTGGCAATCGGGTCGGGGTAGTGCAAGGGTGTTCAAGCTTATGCATGAGTGAGGATTCGAAGTAGGGATGTAAAGGTTGCAAGCCATAAACAGCTGAAGCACTTTGCCTCAGACCCTACCTACGCCGATGAACAAAAGCTCTGGTGCTGTCAAAATAATTACCGTCATCGCGTACTTTTGACAAAAGTTTCTAACTCACCTTCTGTTGTTCCACCCGAGGCAGTTGCATATCTTGGTCTACCTTCACTGAAATTTCTTGAGCCTTTTGCCTTTCTCTGTACGCTGTGACGTATTTCTGCCAGGACTGCTCTAGTTGCTTGCGCGTGCCCTCCATGGTCTGGTTAACCCGAGATAACTGTGCCCGTTGACTGTCCAAATCCTTTCGCTCACTCTCTGTCAGCGACCGAAAGTTTGAGACCACTTGGTCACCAATTTCCTTCGCTCCGACTTCGAAAATGGAACCCATTTTAGTTAGGTGTGAAGAAAGATCAGCGAATGCGATGTTAACCGTCAACTCATCGCTATCGGGCTGCTTTTTAGGCTGGTAGGAAGTCATAAGCTTGCTGTGGGAATGTCAGTACTATTAAGTCAATTACCGTAGCTTTTTGCCGAATTCTAATTGTAGTCTTTGTACATCAGAAGTGAGTCTGTAGAAGGAGTCGACGGTGGAAATTTGATCATTACAGTGTCTCAGGACATTGTCCACCTGGTCCTGTAACAAGTGAAAATGGATTTGTGAACCATGAAAGAAAAAGAGCCAAGTAGAAGAATGAACCTGGTTAGTAACGTATTTGAACAATAGAAATAGGGCAGGCGGAAAAATATGGAAAGTGGCATCGTATGAGATAGTCGCAGGCAAAAGGATAAACCAAAAGAGGAAAATCGCTATTATCGCGGATTGAATAGTAGTCTAACGTCCAGAAAATTACCGCCGATTTGTTGAGATAATTAAGACTGCACTGTGCAAAAGACTGCTTGATTTGAAAGATGACAATTATGCATTGCGACTAGGCACAGTTAGGTGGCTACCGCGTGTTCGGAATAGATCTAGATAAACGTGCTGTCCTTCCGGGGATCGTCAGCAGTGCGCATTCCATCTGCGCTGTAGGGAACAAAAAATCGCGCGCCGCTGTTAATACGGATGTGTGGTGACTCACTGAGATTAGTTGCGTTGGAATCAGTATATACCAACTGAACCCACCAGTATTCCCACGCAAAATGGAAATGACTGAGGTATACAGGACAACGTTTTGCGTTCCTGAGCAGCAGCAACCGTAGGCACGTAAACTAATAGTGGTCCACAAGCGGGTAGGAGGTTCGGCGAATCATCAGGCTACCGCTGTCAGTGGATCGGGTATCTGATCGTTGTTGACACATTTGAAATCTAGCAAGACATTAGTAGTATAATGGTAGGTTGAACCGACGCTTCGCGGACAAGAGACTACCAACAGCCGCGTGAGGTTTAGCAATACCGTGGATTCGAACCCGTGACATTAGAATAACAACTTAGGCGCGCAATACTTTCAAACGGGCGTAATAAAAACAAAAATGCGCAATGTTATACTCCAAAGAAAGAAAGACAAAGTTGGTCAGACACATGTTCCAAGTTGCACCAACATGCGCGCTGTAATGTAACATGGGAACAGATACCACACTCGTTAGATGAACCGTTCCGTTATACGATGAACGCCTGAAAAGAAATACAGATCTCATACCGAAGAACACCAAACTAACAGCAAAAGGAAATTATGAGACAAACAAAAAGATACCGACGAGAAATAAGCCAATTGCGAATAAATTGTCACTATCTAAGGAGTTTTAAGCAGGAAACATTCTGCCCACTTAATAAAATGGGAAACAACCAGACATCTGCGAAGCAATGTTTTCAAAATCAAACAAGGAATACACTATGATTAATAAGTTTGAATCAGTTACAAAACATAAAGTCAGTGGCACCCGGTTTTGGATTTGCCTGTCACTGTACTCTGCACAGGACCCCAGCGCCTACGGAGGGACAATGGATGGCTTGCGCTGCACCACCCACAGCTCCATCCACACACCCCATATCCAGTGTAAACTCGAAGGACAACACCGGTAGCCATGTGGATGGCAGCCAGGTACCATCAGCGGAGAAGGCCCACACTCCTTCAACAAGCACAACAGCATCATTCCTGTCCATCTATGTGGGGAATCATGCGTGCCAAACGTACAACATGGCCACGAGGACCGTGCACTCAGTCACTCTCCAACAATGATTCACAGTCTCCTGGAGCCAGTTAGTAATCGAGGTGGAGGGTGCTGAACAGTTAGACACCTTGTCAACATGCACATCAAGCGCAGCCACAGTGGGGATATCAAAAGATCAGCACATCATTTGGTGGAAAATAAACACGCAAAATCGACACGGAATACCCAGCAGAATAAAAGAATAGAGAAAATCAGATAAAGTGGAACACACTTATCCAAGTTAAAATCTAGTTTAAGTGTAATTGTAAGTCGGTGTAGCCCAACGGCGGTGAAGAAACAAGATGTATGCAACATATATAAAGCATATAAATGAAGACAAATATACTATTCTTGTTCATATTCACCAGTCTGCAGTTGTATTCAGTACTGAGCTATCATCATTCATTATACACGTCAGCCAGAGGTGGGAAACACCTCAGCTACTGTGCCGCAATACATAAACAAAAAGGAAAACAAATACAACAGTTGCATGCCAGCTGAGCTACCAGCAACGGATAGGCATCGTTCCGGTAAGCTACCAGCCGGCTACTAGGCAAAAACAAAAATTATTATGTTTTACGCTATGAAATGAGATGGTACGCGGAGGGGAGGCTAAAAGGAATGGGGAGGGACAAAGAAACTCAAAATACAAACGCCGCTGAGGTCGGCTTCTTGCCATATCAGCTAGTGTATCCAGCCAAACGTGTTTACCGTCTTTTGGACCCCAACCAGGGAGCCGTGACGCTTCAACCGAGGCCAGCTCCGAAGTGAGAGCCTTCATTCCTCTCGACCAAGTCATCGCTTGGCCACCTCTCCTCTTCTTTCATCCACTACCTCGGTGAGCAAACAACGCACGTGGTGGAAGTTGGTGGGCTGGCATGCGCAGCACGTGGCCGAGCCATCGGAGCCTGGTGCGTGAAATGACGGTGCCGAGCGGTTCAGATCCTTTTTCTGTGCCGTAAACAAGGCGTCGAACACGCTCCATACTCACGCGGTGTTCCCACCAGATGTGAGCCACACTGCGAAGGCACCGATGGTCGAACGTAACCAGCCTCTTCATGTCTGCTGATCTTAGGGGTCAGGCTTCACAACCGTACAGTAGGGTCGAACAGACCAATGCATTGTACACTCTACTCTTCAGGGCGAGAGTAATGTCGCGCCGCCGCCATAGGTGGCGAAGGTTAGCAAAAGCACTTCGAGCTTTTGCTATGCGGTTCGTGATCTCGTATTCGATCCCAAGGGCGCTGATACAACTTCACAGATAGTTGAATTTCCGTACGACTTCTACCTGATCCCCACCAAGGGTCAGCGCAGGATGCGATCCCTGCCAATCTTGGAGGAACGCCTTGCATTTCGATAAAGCAAAACAAAGCCCAAAGTGACGGACAGCAAGTGCTAACCAGTCCAGCGCGGCTTGGCACGTCTAGGAGCTGTCACAGATGAGAGCAATGTTGTCTGCATACTCCAAGTCAAGAAGTCGTTCTCCTGGGAGTAGTTCCACATCTGTGAAACCTAGCCCATCAGGTCGACAGACATAAAAAGGCTCGTCATATTCGATCATCGCTGCCTTCGCAGCTTAGCTCATGTCTGGTGGGAACACCGCGTGAGCAATGAGCGTGTTCGACGTCGCGTATTTGGTGCAGGAAGAGCGAGTGAACCGCTCAGCACCATTATATCACGCACCAGGTTCAGATGGTTGGGCCACGTGTTGCGCATGCCAGCACACCGACTCCCGCGACGTGCATTGTTTGCGCGTTCTGGGTGCGGCTAGAAGAGGTGGAGGCCAAACGATGACTTGGTCGAGAAAAATGAAAACGCTCGCTTCGAAGTTGGCGGCGGTTGGTGCATCCCGACTGCCTGGCTGGGGTCCTAAGAACGGTGAACACGTTTGGTTGGACACACTTGCTGATATGGCTTGGAGCCGGCCCCAATGGCGTGTGTTGTGAGTTCCTTTGTCCATCCCCCTCCTGCTTAGCATCCCCTCCAAACACGATCTCACTTGTTAGGCATAATATAACTCTCTTTTTACGGCACGATAGCCGGCCGTTAGCTCTCCGGAACGATGTCCATCCGTTACTGGAGACTCAGCTGGCGTGCCAATGCTTGTTTTCCTTTTCTTGTCTTTTGTATTGCGGCACAGTAGCTGAGGTGTTTTCCACCTCTAGCTAACGTGTAATGATGATGAGGATGAGTTCCACACTTTCCAAGTCATGTCCTGTAAATGCAATCTCCATGACTTCCTCAATAGCGAAGTTGAAGAGGAAAGGTGACAGCGGGCATCCTTGTCTAACACCGCTGGAGATATTGAAGGGTAGCGACAGCTTGCCGCAAGGCCCACTCTGCCCGTGCTACGCGCGTATAATGCTCGGATAATATTTACACATATCTCGGGCACAACTTTTCTGAGTAGACAATCCCAAAGGGCACATCGATCAACCGAATCGAAGGCACCTTTGATGTCGAGGAACACGACTACAATGGGCTGCCAATACGTCTGACAGTGCTCCAACAACTGACGCAAGGTGAAGATGTGGTCGATGCAGCCACGACCACGAGGAAACCCGGCTTGCTCCTCACGAATCTGGTTTTCACGAGCGCCAGTCAGTCTGTGAAGGATTATGGAGGCGAGTAATTTGGAGGCGATGGAGATCAGACTGATTCCTCTATGGTTGCCGCATTCCGAGCGCGAGCCGCCTTTGAAGATGGGAACAATAACGGAGCGGCTCCAGTCGGTTGGGACAGTCTCCTGCTCCCACAGTTTCATTAGTAATTCATGTGAAGCATCAACAAGAGCACAGCCTCCGAATTTGAAGAGAGTTGAAGGAAGATCATCTGGTCCTGCGGCTTTGTTCAACTTCAACAGCCCGATCTCACGTTCGATTCCTGAGCGAGAGGGTGGATCCAAACGGACAGCCCACGGAGCAGGGCGATCACTGGCCGGCGAGGAATCGAACAATTCTAGACGATTAAATTGCTTTCAAAATGCTCAGCCCAAAGCTCCAAACGTTTTGACAAATTGTGGATAGGCTGTCCACTCTCGTCACGTATAGTTTCACTAACACCAGGTCTCCTGCTGCCCGTTTCCCGTATCAGACGAAATAAGTTGCGATGGTTGCCAAGTTCAGCGGCCACTACCATGTCTGACGCACGAAAAGACCACCAAGATTCGCGCATCTCTTCAGGCTAGCATGGAGTTTTGCCCGGAGCTCTTTGCGAGTTTCATTGTGTTCGCTTCCAGCCGGAATATTCCGGCGAGCATCGATAAGTTCCAGAGACTGCGAAGAAACCCAATATCCATGTTGGCTATTAGACATACCACATGAGGATTTG